GGTAGATTATTGATAGGTGTGCCTTCATTTATTGTGTCGATCCGTTAATTTTATGCCCCTTCACATTGCAATAATTTAGGTAGATTACTGATCGGTGTGCCCACATTTTTGTGTAGGTCATTTCCTGTTTCAACTTTTATATATGGAAATTTACTGATGTTAAATCATGATCCATTAGATTGCGTGTGATGCAAGATAGTACTGGGCTCGCGCGTAGCGAACCAATTGACGTTTCCGATTGATACTTAAAACATCAATTTAATGTAATCGAATAAAAATCTAGTTCAATGAATAGGGATCGTACTATTTCAGATTCTGCTGCTCCTGTCACCATCCTATCACCAAGGTAACGCAACGGATGCTGCTCTGTAGCTCTTCACTAAAGTACATTGAATTATCAATTAGGTTCCTAAATGACTTGAGCTGAATGGCCGTCCCTAGTTGGTTGCAAATTTGCAAATTCGATGTTTGGCGCTTGAAAAAAAAAGTTCCATATATGAAAAACTAGAAACTGATATCCATTCGCGATAGCCGATGTTGCTAAAATGCTCCTCTTGTGTCTATATTAGTAGGAGTTTTAGACTAAGCGTTGGACAACAACACAAGCAACGAATGCGAATGAGGAGAAAGTGGTCTACTGGGCTGTAAAAATCGTTTAAACAAAGTAAATGGCCATTTTACACCAATAGATCAATACGTATGCTGCAAGTAATGATTACAAAATGACAGTGTAAAAAAATACTAATTGAAAAAAATACCGACATGTGAACAAAAATAACAATCCAAACTTATAATTTATTAAGCGAAGACAAAATGCAAAAACTGAGAAAAAGATCAGATGTTTCGGAGTGATGAGCGTCTTGTGCTTCATCGACGACAACCACGAAGAAAATATTGCGCAATCCAAGTTATTTATGCCACGTTAACTGAATAAGGCCAACAAATAAGAAATTAACGATGGACATGGCTTCAAGAAGTGAACGTTATTAGTATTAGAATTATTCCTAGACTTAACATTGTGCTATCGATTCTGATGTTTTGTGATCTGCGACTGTCACTACAAAAAAAAAAAAATTTTTTTTTTTTAAAATGCATTCTCTATTCTAGGAAAAAAAATTAGTAAATCCACACGGATTACCCCCTCTGCTTAAACTGAATATTTAAGTTTAGCGATTTCACTACTGACCATTTGACCTCAGTGTTCTATCGATGTAAGACCTTTCAAATCATTAGCGAACCGAAGGCCCTTTGCGAGACGAAAACTCATGAAAAGTTGAGTCAGGTTGACGGCAAATCCACGGAGGAAGATTTTAAATATGAAACTTGTAAACTTCTACTGACGTGCTTTATCAATGTTTCCATTACAGTAACTTTCTATCTTCTGCCTTATACTTCATTTAACAGGCCAGCTGATTTGTGGTCGATTCTGACGTACGTTGCATTCTTAAGGGATGCTGATTACTACAGATGTCTGACCGTAATGACTTTATACCTATAATCACGTCATTGACGACAGGGGGCAGGGCTGAAACTCTAGTATCAGATATCAGACAGGCTGACTATAGTAGTAGTTACATCTGATCAATGAAATAACTGTTATGCAACAGTCAAAATATACGTATTTATGTGTAATTGCAGCACGTCAGGTTTACTCAGGCATAACCTCTGACCTGATAGCTGAGAGGGAACCAACGCTAGTATTGGAAATCAAGGACATGACACACTCTTTCAAATTGACCGCTCACCCCAGTCTTTACTTATACTGCAACCAACATGATCACTTAGCTGTGCTGTAAATGTGACGTTGTCCATTTTCCTAGTTTGAAATTCATCTCTCTAGAAAGTAGCAATCCAACATATGGGGAAAGTTTATGGTCACCGTTATGGAAATCTTTTTTTTCTTGTGCGAATAAAGTTAGAAGTGTTCATTAGCATACAAAACAGGAGACGCTTACCTTCCCGGAGCACATGGTCTTATTCTCTTTGTAATTTTCGTACATATTAAATTGAAATGGATTTGAGTTTGAGATTACGTTTCCATGTCAATGATTTCTTGTTCTTGTCTTATACAAGTCTGTCTTTCAGACTCATTAAAAGCCAAATAAAATAATGCTGAGGTTAACACATATTTTGTTTATTAAAAACGCTGAAACTATGGTGAAACATGTCAGATAAAAAAAACAAACAAAAGAAGACATCAGTGTATCTCTGGTAACTACTGCTATAAAATCGTGGCCAAATCCAAATGATGTAATGAAAAATAAAAAAATGTAAGGAAGCTTAGTGACAGGTTCGGCAGCTAAGGTGAAATAGTCTGTAGATCTGAACTTCCTGGCATTTTCATCCTTCTAGGACTTAGGACGAAATAACAATGAAATCCCGATGTTAAGTAAACCCATATCGATCTAAATTACACTGGCAGAGCGACAGTTACCCAATTCTTTTCAAATTTAAAAAAAATGTCTGGTGCCATTTTGAATTCTTCAGAATGTCACTGGCCTTATCGTTGGCATAGCGAAATGAACTGTATTATCACTTTTTTCTCTAGTTCTTATTCTTTATCGGATAAAAAGCCAAATTAATTTAGCCTGTTCTGAAAATGTATTAAATGGAGAATATTCTCCTACTCTGTAACGTTGATTTGAACAGTCTCATACTGACGGGATCATAAAAATTCATAGCCAAGCGGAGAGTTCTTAACAAATCTTTATCCAACTGGGGAATTGCTACACAACAAATTGCTTGCATTTCCTTTATGAATCCCCAGAACATGTTTGATAACCAAATACTATGAAACTAATATCGATATTGGCTTAATGTGTGCGGATCCTGCATATGTTTCTGCCACTTTACTATCTACAGCAGAATACCTTCATTCTTGTAAGAATATTGTTAACATGTAGGTCATCAGTCATTTTAAGTAACGCACTTTATGCAAAAATCTGTTTTTTGGGCAGCTGCCATAGAGATGATGACGTCACTGTCAGATGCACGTCACGAGTCGTTAATTATGCAACGAAAATATTTCACGGGTTTAATCAAACTTGGTGTTACATTAAATCGGTCGATGGAAACCTAAGTGGGTGTTATCTTGAGAACTAATAAAACGGACGATGGTAATAATTTGGTTGAAAGATTATCTGTGTAAAAATAAGCATACGCATTACCATTGTGACGTAAAATTCAGAGAAGAGAAGGGATTTCCGGACTAAGATATAACATACTGACAGTAATTCAAGGAATTTTGTTTTTAGACATATTTGAAAAAACGTATACCGGTTCAGTATATTTCAATATAGTTTCTATTTATAGATTCAAGTTCAATCAATTAATTATTCAATCACGTGATTTGTGGTTCATTAGTGATTGAAAATTATTGATGTAGGAGTTATTGAACGGATGGGTGATTAAATCCAATTAGTATGAAAATTGATGTGTATATCAAATAATTTATAATTTTATTGCTGTGTGAGAAAATTAGTCAACGACTTCAAAATCCCCGAATGACTACACGACAGGTAGTTGTTGTGCCAGTAAGTGGTTTGATGTATATAATTTGGCATAAGTAAGTAAGTAAGTAAGTAAGTAATGAACTGATAGTTAATATATATTCATTAACATTTCAAATAGAATGAATGGAAAAGATAATGAAAGAAATACGAATTATTGATAACGCTAAAGACGGCCTCATCTACACCATATCTCTTGGACGTGCTCACGTAAATATGGCAACAAAATGCACACGTGCATGCGAGAGATATAGCATGGCATGCCGGCTCATATGGCCTGGTAATAGTGATTCCAATTTTCAGAAGATTGTAGAATAATCTGGTTTTCATTCAAGCTGTAAAAAATGTTTAAAAAATGTAAGAATGAAAGCGATGTTATCAGATTCTTATCGGTAATAATTATCCTGAATGTCGTCTAAATTGCATACCTTTGATACAAACTGGAGCAGGCGGTAATCTTTTGTTACAAATTCTATAAACGTCTGAGAAATCCATGTGAAAAAGGACGTATTAAGTTGGCGATCTATAGATAATTGACTGAAATTGTTCCTACTTATCTTGTCGTATGACACAAGTCATTGAATGATGTTATGTGATGTGTGTTCTTTTTATACGTAAGACTGCAAACATGGTTACGATCGCTGTAATTGCAGATGTCAGAAAAATCGGATACCATAGAGAGGTCCTTATCTTGATACTTGAGAAATGCATCAACTGCATTCTTGGCCAGCTATACTGGGATGATTTGATTAGTGAAAGATGCAGCGTAATGTGAAGGGTTGTTCTGTTTAGCGACGTGTCTCAAACTGAAATTCGCAATTTGGCCTCCCGAAAAAAATAAACGATATTTAAAGTTTCAACAGCGCTTATCGAGAACGTAAACAAAAAATCGTCAAGAAAATACAAACATGTCAACATAATCATATTCCAAATTCAAATTCAATATAACTAAGAAAAATTTAAACGGTAATTAAAGAATTACAAGCAGAATAAGACCAAGTGTTCTTGAAGAGTAAGCATCTTCTGCTTCATCGACGACACCCTCCACGTAAACCTTTGTCAATCCAAGTAAATAATGTCACGTTCTCAAATGAGGACAGGGTATGTAACAACGAAATCAAAAGGCAAACTAGAACACGCTCGTCTTCATATCGCAAAAAGAAATAGAATATTTCTAAATGAAATCGCTCTGACGACCATAAAACTTCCCTGTGATTTTCATCAACCTGCATCTGTTGAAATCCTGTGCTATGAGTTTGTCCGTCAGTTGACTTCTTGCACGAAAATCGTGGTTATGGAAACAGGCTCTTGAATATCAAACCAGATAGTAACTGAAGCACATACAACGCATCTTGTCTTGAAGAGAAATTGAGCCCATTTAGTCAAATTTCTTGTGAAAGCAGTGCGTTTTGGTTGCTTGTGTAAAAGTCTATGTTTTGTTCACTAAAATACAATTGCTGATCAAAATAATAAACTATATTCTATTGACAGGTGGTAATCATGCTGGTTTTCATCTTAACCATATTCACAATCTGTTGGGTCCCACTAATTGTAGCCATTCTTTATGCCGAATACAGACCCGAACAACTTGAACGGGTAAGTCACTGAGTATATAAAAAAATTATATCAAAATTATGCATCAAATATAAAGTACAAATAACGAAAAGTAAGTCCAACTAATGTAAAATGATCGAACTGAGCAAATACAAAAAGTTAAAAATAGCTGATCCCTTAACGGGTCTTGTTAATGTAATACTTATTTGTATATGTCACTAAGGTATTGTATATACCTTTAAACGTTTTTCATTGGCTTTGTCAGTCAGAATAAATTTTAATATCAAAATAGGATAATGACATTACGTCATGAATTGAAGATTGAATGAAAAAGAAAACGGTTTTTACACCGCAGACAATTCAGTTTCGATAATTCAATGAGTTATTATAAAGAAAATGATTTTCAATTATTGACAACTGAATGTTACAAAATGTAATTTGTGTTTGCGTGTTAAGTAATTTTGAAAACTATCATCACGAATAGTGATTTCTCCTTAACAGAAATCAAAATATTACTTCTTACCAAGCACTGGACAATAGTAATTTTCTCTTGACCAGAGATCAAATGGTTACTTTTGCATGTCCAGAATAAACAGACCGTGTTTTCTTCCCCAAAACATATTTCTCTAAACACTAACAAGTCCTATCTCTTTTCTTGTTTTCATATTAGGACATTCCCTAACCCAAGGAAGGGACCATTCTTCAAAATGATATAACTGATTGGTTTTGATTCTTTTCAGATGGGACCATGGTACGCCAAATTTACATTCTTTGCAAAAACGTTTGCGTTCTCTAACAGCGCTATCAATCCACTGGTGTATGCAGGATTCAATGATAATTTTAGACAGGGTAAGTACACAACAAACCGTATTCTTTTAAAACCTTGTTCAAGTGCGGAGGACTCCGTTTTTTTCTGCATCCCTTATCAATTTCATTTCACTCGCATAATCCTCTAGAAATCGAAAGTTGACAGTGGTATTGATTACTAAGCAAGGAATTTAACTTAACTTGTCCTGCCTGGACACGCATTATACAGAAATGTCACGCACCGGCCAAACATTAAATACAATCAGATTCAGTGATATCGATTTCTTTCATTTGAGAAATTCCTTTATCACATACAGGTCTCTGTCAATTATTGTATTGTGTTATCGACTACTCTTCTATATTGAATGAGATCCGATGACCTTAGTTAAAACACTAATTTTACATAGAATATTAGCAGGGTTCAGAATATACACACGTACTTGTTACTATCTGGTGTATGAAAATTACGAAATTTATTTAATCGTGGGGTTAGTGCACCTCCCCGTCTAAATTTTAACTTTTCTTTCTTTACCTCAGTCACCTTCCTATGCTTCAAAATTTGTGGCCTTAAGCATTACTGACGAGTCAGAGAAAGCAAAGACAGCTGTATGATGCATTTTAAATCATTGTTTGATTCTACTGTATCTAACTCAAAATTGTTTGATTCTACTGTATCTAACTCAAAATGATTTAAAGTGCTAGACAAATGTAGAGTTAGAATCTCTAGACAAATGTAGAGTCAGAATCTGTAGACAAATGTAGAGTCAGGATCTGTAGACAAATGTAGAGTCGGGATCTGTAGACAAATGTAGAGTCAGGATCTGTAGACAAATGTAGAGTCAGGATCTGTAGACGATCTGTAAAGAAATGTAGAGTCGGGATCTGTAGACAAATGTAGAGTCAGGATCTGTAGACAAATGTAGAGTCAGGATCTGTAGACAAATGTAGAGTCAGGATCTGTAGACAAATGTAGAGTCAGGATCTGTAAAGAAATGTAGAGTCGGGATCTGTAGACAAATGTAGAGTCGGGATCTGTAGACAAATGTAGAGTCGGGATCTGTAGACAAATGTAAAATGATTAAGAATATCAACATAACAATTTAGTTAAAACCTCTGTAGAAGATCAGAGGTGGAATTTCAAAAGATTACTATGTGTTAACACCTGTTATAAGGATCTCTGGCATCAATGCGTTATCACTCTTATAAAACGATTGAATTATGAGTACAAGTGAGTGGTTGAGTGATATTCAAACTAATACGTCAGGTATTGGACTGAATTAACTTTACTCAAGAGTTACAGAAATTTCAAATAAGCACAGCTATGGTTATATTCAATTCGAAATATGACATTTTAGTTCAAATCTCCAAACGTCTTGTTTAATTTATAAGAGACGATGCTTTTGTTTGTCAGTTCGTTAAATAAACAAGTTCCTTAAATTTCGTTATTTCACGATATTTTTTTCTTCTGACGTCATTGGAGCATCAGAGGCGAAAATGAATAGCTTACAGAATGTTAATGACACATCATCTTCTGCTTAATCATTGTCTTCTTCAGACTCACCTCCAGTGTGTTTTGTTGTAAGTTAAGATCAGAAGTAGGAAGCCGTAAAAGAATATTTCCTTTGTTGTTCAATGACAGCGATCAGTCGGTGATTGAAATAGGATTGTGTTAATAAGTCATATCATCCTTAAAACCATTGTCATTACCATTAGGGTAATAAATTGGTTTCCTGAATGTAAACTATCAGGAGACCGACCTCCTTCTAACAATAACAGGATGTTCCTTGAAAAAATATTGGATGCGGAAGCTGATTATCCGAATTAATGTGGAAAACAAACGAGATCTGTTTGAATTGTACATTTAAAAATGATATTGTGCGAGAACGCCATTAATAATAACTAGGCATGATAGATGATGTAAAAATGTATTTCGGTTATTTTAAAAAGATAAAACTTTTCCTGGGACCTAATAAAATTCATTGATTTATTAAAGTTTATTGCTTTAAATAAATATTGAAATGAATCATGGAACATTATACCGTACGTACGAAACGACCCGTAGAGATACGCTTTTCAAAGACGAAAGTTTATAGGATATATACATGTGTTTGACGATCTTCTGAAATTTTAAGATACAGGAAAATTACGGAATTTAATAAATTATTGGACTAGTCCACCTCCCCATCTAGATTTTGACATTTTTGACCACTTTGGATTGTCGTCATTCGCCCCCGAGTTTTCAGACTTAAGCCTATAGCATGATTCACGAGTCTAAGGAATGAGAAACAGTTGTATAATGCAGTTCAGTTATTTCGCTCTATTTGTGTGTCTTTTGTACAGTCTTACTACCTAACCTCCACAAAGGTATTTATTAGAAAAGAGGATTCTTAATTTTGCTCGTGTTAAATTTCCTACTCGTCATGACTGATAAAATTATTTTATTTTTCCAGGAATTGGTTCCATATTTGGATGTTACAAAAAGCAAAGATGGACGATGGCCCGCATTGACTCGTTTCGTTCAACAACTACAACAAGTACCCGGATATTTCATTTCCGCGTTTCGTAAGATCTGTTTGATAGAATCTGTTACCGACTCTGTACTTTTACATCGCGATATTGTAAAAATTGTAATTTTAGTGTATTAAATTTACGTAAATACTAAATACTGAGTTCATACTTTTTTTTAGCCCAGTTCAATATACAATATACTATGTCCTTTACATATCATCGAATACACAAATACAATGGGTTTTTTTGTTTTTATTTTGGTCTTTTTTTCAGTCATATCATGTCTAGTTCGTCACTTAATAAATAAGCAAGTCCATACATACAAAATAAAGTCTTTAATCAATTTCTAACATGAAACGTATGCAAACACCACAGAAATATGTTAGTGGAATGAAATATAACTACACACAACATCCCTTCCAGTTATATGCACTTATCTATTATCATTATGATTTAATCCAGAAAGAACGAACAAACTCACGGAATATAAAACTAAACTTGTTTTCATCGGTTTTTTAAATTATTATTTATTTGTTGCCTGTTGGAATACCGAGATATCTAAACTATTGAAAACACCAGGATTTATAAGCAGATTATCATAATGAAAACATCAGAATCACATGAATATTTCAAAATATTTCCAACAGGTCATTATTATGGCCTTCATATCAATCGTAATGGACATTGCCCTTTCGGAAAAGTGTGTCTTTTGAGATAATTTAGAATCAAGCAAAGCAAAAGTGTGAAACCAACAGAGATTTTCAAACTGTATCTGAGAGAAGCAGAAATAATGCTATTCAGAAATGGAAAGTTAGCGTTGTTCCGCGAATATCCTAATATGACGTTCATCTCTTTACTGGTAAGAAGCTACAGCATAATCATTTCACCGAGTTACGTGTGATTGTTGTTGTATAACTGATGATAACTAATTCGGTGAGAGATTAGGACCCGTAAAACAGCAAGGAGACAACTTGTTAAGTTCATGTTATTTTATTCCAATCAGAAGTGAAGATTTTACAAATGCAAAGTACATTCATGTAGTATACAATATGTAATAAAGTATATGTAATGGACATACAGTAAAGGTCATACAGTAAAGGTGAATTATAAAGAAGTCTACAGCGACATAATGAATATCATCACAACATCTTGATTGATAGAAACTGATTAATCATTAAGAAAAACTTTAAAATCATGCTGGTGCTGATTAAAAGATAATCCAAAACAAAAACTTATTAAGTGTTAAAAAATATCAGAGCAATTGACATGAATTGACGTGTTAACTTATTTTGGACAAGATCAGGAAGATCTAGGAATTAATCCAAAATACTGAAGAATAGTTTACCTGACAATGTTTTTAGAAGGGAAATTAACTATGACAATAGGGGAGATAACTGTGGTAGAAAGATCACTTTGCAGTGAGAGGTATTGTCAATGCCTGAATACTAAGTGACAGCATCTAATTCAAATATAATACATTATCAAAAACACAGATTAATTGCTTTGTAATGTTAATCAATGACAATGTAACGTTACAGGATTGTTTACATGTGACATTAACTTCCGGTTTAAACATTTGACTTCCGGTTTACAATGTTACTTTCGGGTGGTAATCTTTCTTCCGGTATAAACATTTGACTTCCAGTTTAAGAATTGATATATATATTTGGTTATTTTGACAAAGCAATCAGAACAGCTCAAGGAAACTATTGCAAAATAAATTTTCTAAACCATGATTTATAAAGTTTCTGTATAGCTAGAAAGCATTTAATCACTGCTAAATTCAAATGTCTCAGCTACCAGCTACATGTAGGAATATGTGTTTCCTTGTTTATACAATGAGTACACACACCATAATTTCTGGTTTGAACAAGTGAATGGGTGACTGTTAGCAATCCATGATTTGGCTCTGATCTACATATAAATCTTAGGTTCAGAAGATAATCAAATAAAAACCTAGCAAACATATATCTGTACAATAAAAGACATGTCGAACAAAGTGACATGGTCTGGTGTTGTAAATAAAGGATATTTCGACCGCACATAATGAACTTGATATTTACAAGCGCTTAGCCAAAAGGGGAGACAACTCTAAGCTGGTAATTTAGCTAGGTAGGACACCAGTATTTTATAAGGTGTATATTAATTATGCTAAGCTTCAAAACATTACTTGTAAAGTAATATTTTGTCTGTTAAGAATTTCCCTTAATTCACAACACCTATGTGTAATTACAACAATAGTGACACATTTGGATTGCAATGAATAATAAGACTTATAACATGACATATGTTCTGTTTTAAATTGTAAAATGTACAATAATTAGTATAAAATTCATAAGCAATGTTTAGAGTAATTTCTTATTCTGATTCTGATTGGCTGACCAGTTCGTAGCGCATGCTCAGATTGCTCACAGGTACACGTGGGTTCTTAAAAAAATTTTAGTTACTCAACGCAGCTTAATGCTCGGTTACGTCACAGTAATTGGTTAGCCCGGCTAATTGAACCTGCTCACCTTGTCAGCATCTTATTACAATAGGTTTTAGTAAGTGTCAGGACTGGCCGAAATGAATCAAAGTGACTTAAGCCTTTGTAAATATGTTACTTGAGTTATTTATCAATATACTGGTTTAAGACAGGACGATCAGTACAAAAAGTAAGTTTGTATAATGAAATATAGACTTAGGTTGGTCAAATACAGAAACACTTTAACAATAATTAGTGGTGAGACATTTCCGGCTTTAACTTAATATACGGGAATTTCCCAGCTAGGGCCTATTATTGTTAGAAAAATAAAAATTAATTACCATCAGATATAATAAAATAAAATGTGAATTATGAGTACTTCCAGAATATTTATTATAAAAGAAATGAGAAAAAAAAAGGTTTTATAAAAGAAAATGAAAATCATATCCTTTCTCCATAATAAAATTGTTGACGTTAGACAGTTTGCACTATGCGCCGTTTAACACACGTTTTACAATTCTAAATCAAAATTGGTTTTACATGTACCGAATTAAGAAATTTAATATAAATAAATTTGTTATGATATTAAACACGGGTACAATTTCGACAGGGAATTCAAATCAATTAATCTGTTAGATAGGTATGCTAATCTCTGTCTTTGGCAAAAGGAGAAGCTATTTATAAAGGGTACGGATTTCTGGCTTCTTGGTGATATGTGTTATTTATGATTGACGCTGTGGAACACGCTAAGAAGCAATAACATGACATTAGTATAAGTTTTAAATACTGAGTCATAACACAAGAAAACTTAACGTGATGAAATGGAACAAGTTACAAGTCATCAATCTCCTTTTTGCTAGTTGCTCCGAGCCTGACAAATTCAGATACAACATGAAAAAAAAAAACAATCAACAAACAGTAAAGCATGAAAAAATAATGTAAAACATGGAAACAAAGAGGAATAAAAAAAAACTTTTCAGCTGGACACATAAAATTTTCAAATATAAGATACGTCGTCCGCGTGACAGAATTATTTACAATCAACTTCTCAATAACGTTTACTTATATAATGAACAATACATTGCCGAAAAATATTGATCCAAAAACAGTTCGACACCCAACATTTAAGTTACATGTTGTATAAGCTTGTAAAATAACCATAAAAGAGATGTGTATGGGGTAAATCTCCCCGCCCCGCCCACCCTGTCCCGCCACCGCCACACCCCGCCCCCGTAAATATTTAAAATGTTTTTCAATGACCCCAATTTTTTTTAACTATATGTCCCCGCCCCTCAGGCCCCTGGGGGCAGGGCTGTAAAAAAATCTTCATTTCAGATCCCAATACACTACTGATGATTCATGTGACGTTTGGTCAAAATTAGCCCAGTGGTTTTGGTGAAGATCAAACTGCATAAATATATATTTGCACAACGATCATAAAATATTGACTCTGACCTATCATTTGACCTTTTTCGTGGGCACCAATTTCATAATTTCTAGGACTTCTTGGTGCTTATATAATATATTTTTGAATTACCCAATTTTTGACCTACTAATGCCTCTGGAGGCAGGGCCGTATAAATTTCATGAATTGAGATCCCCATGTACTACTGATGATCCAGCTAAAGTTTAGTCAAAACTAGCCTAACACGTTTGGATAGAAGCTTTTAATGTTGAGTTGGTGGATTAAAATACCTATGTGAGAAGATAATTAAAATGTGTACGCATTATTTGTAGATCATATACCACAACAATTAAAAGTAAATGAATGTAAAAACCTTCTGTCCTAAAACCTTATTCATAATGTACACGCGTACGTTAATGAATAAATGCACTACTAAATTAAAACAGACTGGGGCGTACATCTATTGGTTTCGACTTTAGTAGCGGGGACATCTTATTGATTACATGCTGATCAATCGAACAATATTGATGTACACGGATGTTATTCCGTTCATGTCAACGGAAAGATAATAAAATTCTGCAACAGACATCAAATAAAAAAAGCTACAGCTGTGATGAGCGCGTGAAAATGTACGATATGGGTATTTCAAATTCGAGCCTTGATCTTTATTGTAATATCAAACATATTTGATCATTCTAGTGTGAACTAAAATACTGTGATTAAAAAAAATCTGATAAATGTCACGGGTAAGTGAAATTGTACATGTTTTGGTAGTGTTTGTTAACTTTAAATCGTGTTTACACATATTCTTTCATTAAAAGAGAACATTTGCTAATGACTATCTGAAGGCTTCTACAAGTATGATCAGCTGCAGAATCTTAATCACGTAAGCAGATAACCACAAATCGTCCTTTACATAAAATGGAGAATGTTTGTCATATGAAAATGTCTCACCGGTAGTGATGTCTCTAACAGACCATAATAATGTCAATTAACTAATATTCAATATCTCCTGACTCGTCACCTAAGATTTACTCCCTTCAGTCACTATAATACTTGAGGAGTTTGAATCCCGTCTCTCCAGTATATAATACTAAGTGGGACCACAACACATCATCCCTCTGTATACCTACTGCTCCTTGTTGTCCTTTGTTTGTGTGGAGTGTTTTTATGTACTTCCCATCTCCAGTTATTAGTTCTATTGTTTTCCTGTTCCAGTCAGGAATAACAATATTACCCTTACTGTCGTATACCACTGTGATCGGATGAAACTTGTCAGGTGTGACCGCCTCCCGTGCCTGTATCCCCTCCCCACGGTAGTGGACCAGAGGCTGGAGTGTTGGATTATACACAATGACGTGACGCCTGTAGTTGTCTGGATCACTGCCGTCTTCACTGATTAGTTTACAACTCATTACAGCTATGTTACCTGTAACAGGACAATGTGTGATCGATTGTACCGAACCCGCACCTGACCTATCTATAGTGACTGTGTGCAACACCTGACCATCTGCTGTGTGCATCACTACCTTGTACCCCTGTCTTCTCCCTGTACCCACCACAACCCGTCCCTCACTGGTCACAGACAGTTCGTTTGGGTAATACTCTGTAGTAAACCTTTTGACAGGCGTAGATGATGTAGATACTTCATAGATAGTCCTCTCCTCGAAACAACAGAACCACAGACAACCTGTGATGGTTACTGTTGTG